AGTACTCCGAATTGAACGAAATTTCTTGGATATCACCTCATTAATTGTTTATAGTTTTCATGACTTTTAGAAACGTACTCAATAAAAATGTCGGACGGGTGGTATTGTTCTGTTAAATAATTTTGTAGTAATAATTTTTCAGTCTTTTCCTTTTATGACAATGCTTTTTTGTTTTAATTGCCGTATTGCCAGATTCCAGTAAGAGCCTAAGAAGGTATCCAGTGAATTCTGGCAGGCAACGGCGGGGGAAATCTTTTTTAGACATCTCTAACGTCACAGATCAAGACACCCTGGCATCTTTTGGCCGAGTAGGATACTAGGCCAAAAGAACGCAGGGTAGTGTCGGATTATCCGTGTTCGGGCTAAAACCTTAACCACCGTTCCAGAGAGCTGGTCTTGCCAACTCAATGAATAACTAAAATAAAAAACTAAAAACTTACAAATAACCATACCTATTACCGTAAATCAGAACATTTCCGTTAGGCCATAAACCAATAAATAATAATAACCATAAATTTCAGATGCCTAGTTCAACTTCCTCTTCTGTTCACCTGCTCCTTCTTCTTCACCACCTTGAATGACAATGTTTGGAACAGGTAAATTTAATTTTCTAGTTTTCCGTACTCTGATAGAATTAATTTGGTTATTTTGTAATTTAAAAATATCACAAAATATTACAATATTTCGTAAAAAACAATGGCATTAAATCTGTAAAATTTATTTGATAAGTCGTATTATCAAGAAGTTAAAAATTAATAAAATTCTTTTGTTTAGTTTCTCTAAGTTTCTCTAAATTTTGACGTGGATAGGCATTAGAGTTGAGCCCTCTTCATCAAGTATAAACTTTAGATAATAGTTCACTACTATATTCATTTTTCGGAAAATTAACTACCTAAAGTAAGAAATTACAATTAGTGATTTTATCAACTTTTCAACTTCCAGGTTAAAAATGGAATCGTCAAAAAAATATGTAACTTTAATTACAATTATTATGGTATATTCCCAAAAAATAATATTGTAATTAAATGTAACACATGCCATAAGAAAATAGTGTTAAAATAATTTCAAAAAATATATAACCAAAAGTCCTAATGTAACACGTTTGATTTCTGAATTCGAACCTATTTAAAAATTTTAGGAATATTTTAGGAAAGGAAACTCTTAATTTAGGTTGAAAACGATTTAAACACAAAAATTAATATTTTTTACTATTTGTAAATAATTTCTAGAAGACGTGATAGGTTCAATATTTATACAGGGTGTGTCATATAGACCACACACCGTAGACTTATCTCTAAAAAGAATTGAATTTCAAATTCAATATAATTCTATATGATCAAAATATTTACAGTATGATATTACCTACAGTAAAGTAAAAAGGAAATTTTTTGTTATTCTTAGCTTAGAACTTCTTTCTGTTTTTAAACAATTTGAAAATTATGAAGAAATGTGTGGTGTAATACTAGATTATGTTATACTGGATTTATAACTCTAAACAAAACAATAACAACATATGTATCAGCTGTATGTTCGTCAAATATACCGCAAACGGTACCCTCCTCAAATTAAACAAAAATCAAAGATTTGGTTACCTTAGAAACAGTAAGAGGTACAATAAGAGCAGATATTAAAGCCCTGGATCTCTTTTCTTTATATATCATTGAAATGGGACGCGAGAATGGATTTCAATAGAGTACGGAAAATACTGACGGAAAGACCAGTATACTAAAGACGCATCCAGAAAAAAAATGTTCTAAAAGTTTCTTATCTGAAAGGGTAAATTTTATAAAGTCAATATACTATATGACTTATCAGTGAGTTACATATTTTTTATCCTCACCTCTTATCAGGGAGTTTCATCATTTCCTTTATATGTGAGTAGAGGCTCATCTTTTTCCTCATCGCGTTTGATCATCTATATGTTGCAGTTGCACATAAAGAAAGAGATAAAAAGAGACAGGAACAAATAATTTTCAGACTACGTCCTATAATCTCAAAACGATGTACTGTTATAAACATTAAACTATTAATTTATTTCCGCTGTCAAAATAATACACAATTTAATATTTTTTTAAAAGAATATTTTGATCTTGAAGAGAAAATGTTCTAAAAAAAATAAATAATTTTGGGCCAGTACCAAAAAAATTTTGAATGTACCTACCTATATTTTCCATTTTTATAATTGTTAAATAGCATTGTAAAAGATAATTATATTTAATGTTGCTAAAAACAGTATTCAAATCAAGACAAACGCTTTAATTATCTTACTCCCGTTTTTCTAAACGGAAAAGTCCGTTTCTGAAAACTTAAATTATTTTTATTACCAATAAAAATTAAAATTTTATATTACACAATCGTCTCCCATGTGGGCACCTAAAATAGAAAAATTATAATAAAAATATCTCCAGACTTAAATATCAAGGTTTACTAATAAGTTGCTGTAGATTATTGAAACTACAGTGAATACAGGAGCGTAACACTAAAACACTAAATCCTTAGTAAAAACTGTTTAGAAAAAAATATTATTTAACATTTTATTATTTAATAATCTCACTTAACGACTGGTACTGACATGGTCGGTAATTATACAATACGATTTTAATGTATTTTAAAAACATTTCTGTTTTTATTTAAATAAATAAATCATTAAAATATACCGTTCTACATGCCTAACACACTCAGTTGCGTGTGTGGGTATTTTCATTTACTTCTTTATATATATATATATATATATATATATATATATATATATATATATTTATAAATATATATATATATATATATATATATATATATATATATATATTTATTTATTATCAGTTTATTTTATTTGGTCTCGTTCTTTTTCCGTGTTATAAATTTATGATTAAAATCTATTTATAGTGTTACGACAAATATGACTCAAAACTGTGAACATATTTAATACTAATATTCTTATTCATTCGAGTTATTCTTTTCGTATTCTTTTCTAATAAGAAGATCCACTGGACGCTCTCCTAAAAAACAGTATGGCGCGACCTTCCAGTCTTTTCGCCAAGGGTCAGGAAGATCGTCATCCTTCGACGAGATTCTGGATTAACGGTGCTTTATATATAAACACGAAATTTTATTGAAGAGAGTTAGTTTTGAATTGCAATTAAATTGCAAAGTCCAATTATGACATCAACAATTTGGCATTATCTAAGATAGGACATGCACCAGATAATCTGGATTAATAGATTGTCAGAAGCATGCTTGAAGTGATCTTACGAGAAACTGGAGTACGAATTACTCTGTGTTTCATTAACCCGAAGAGATCGTATCCTGCAAAGTCAGTAGACTGTTATTTCTTCTTGGGGGATTATACAGATCTAGAGATTTCTGTAGATTCCGTCATCCTGTGCCTACATCTAGAGTTGCTGCTCGGGACGCTCAGATCTAAGGGGGAGCAGTGTAACGAAATAGCCCATCTTCGATACGTGATACGTGTCACAATTCTTAGAAGGATAAATCTAGGATATTTAGTTGGCATTTCAATAGCGCCTGTCTTCAGTGCGTTTTCGACGAGAAGAATATAGGTGGACTATTCATATTCTAGTATTATTATTCTATGTATATATATATATATATTATATATTCTTATATATATATATATTCTTTATATTACTTGTATATATAAGTACCTATATATAAGCTATGTTATTTGTTAAGATACTATCGTACAGTACTGTACAGTTATAAATAAATATATTTACATAAATTGGAATAAAGTAGAACCGCTCGTTTTATTTAAAAACGATACAAGATATGTATACAAGATCTGTAGCGTTAAAATGGTATTAATGTGAAGAAATATCAAAATAAGGCAAACATTAATCTAATAAATACATCAGCAAAAAAGCACAGAATCACAGAACGCCGGAAGATTCCCAATTTATATAATTTTATATTAATTTTTTAATTTAACTTTTGACAACATTGATTGATTTAAAATCTATCAAAAAATGTATTGTCAATTTTGACATATTATATTAACAACGTCACGGCTCAGGCTTCTTGACTGTTATGACCATCACATACGAAATGAAGTATAAAAACGTCAGAAAAAATATATAACTATCTGGCTGAGTACAAACTGGGACACTTGTCCAATTTACGAAATAATGCTAAAATTGTTATATAATAAAAGAAACTGAAGAAGAAACCAATAATTAAAAGTAGAATACGGAAAAATCAATTTGGTAGTATTAGTACATGGTAAATTTGGCTTAAGTTGCTGATATCAGTTCTCTTATTTAATGCATTAGGTTGTTTCAAAATATGACACATCTCCATAAACTGTCTCTTATTAAGGTTACGTTCTCTACAGAGAATTCTAACATCATCAAAATTCACAGCATGTTTGGTGTTGATTGCATGTTGTGCAAGGGCACAGGTATGTTTAGACAGTTTAATGTCACTACGATGTGAAGTAAGGCGTGCATATATATATATATATATATATATATATATATATATATTATATATATATATATATATATATATATATATGTCTATAAATATATATAAGATATATATTATATATGTCTATATATATATATATATATATATATATATATATGTATATATATATATATATATATATATATATATATATATATATATATATATATATATATATATATATATATATTGGGCTTTTTCTTGAAATTTTTCTATTCCTCTAATTTTATTTAAAGAGTTTTACAGCTTTTTATTTTAAGAGTACCTACATTTCGATTATTGATACGATTCCTTCTTAAAAATTTTTTTTACTACGCCATAGAAATCAACCTTTTCTAGTTTGTTGAAGATGTCAACGACAACCTTTGACTGGGTCATCAAAAGTATTCATAAATCTTTAGATAAAATCTGATTTAAATTTTTGGCTTCTAAATTTAGGAGAAGGGGTAAATGGAAATTAGTCCGTAAAAGAATAAAAGTATTTAAAAAATTAGAGAATTTGTCATTTTAAAAACAGGGTTCGGTGTAAATTAGTGCAAAATGAACTACCTGGTAAGTAAAACATAACCAATGTATTATAAATTATATATCCAAAATATCATAGCTAATTAAACAATTATTATTTAATAGTTTATTGATCAACAAGTTCAGAAAAGTTCTAATTTCTGATGATTTTGCAAAACCGCAATCCAAACCAATGAGAAATTACCTTTCTACACTGTCACACAGTATATTTTTGTGTAATTCATATTTTTCTATATTTTGAACTTTAACTTTTGAACTTTCTTATTCTATATTTTGAACTTGAAGGTTAAAAGTTAAATAAAAAATATGGAATTGACTTGTTCGCTCAGCTTTAGTGGGGTATTATCAATTTCAGAACCATCGCTATCGATTTTAGTTCAAACTTTTGCTATGCAACAATGTCACTTTCAGGCACACATAATCTCATATTTTAATTATTGTGAGAAATCTTCAGGTTTGTTAACGTAAAACTTTACATAAAAGCGCTTTTTGAGTAGTGGTTGTAGAAATAAATTATATGTATATATATATATATATATATATATATATATATATATATATATATCATTTACGTTTCATTAAGACTTATTACACGTTGCAAGGAACTAATTAGCTGTATTTATTTGCTTATTTGATTCTCTGACTACTAAGTTTGTCAAATTTTGACATTTTTTGTAAATATTAATTTTTTATTCATTTTTAAATAACTTTGTAGAAAAAGTATAGGATACAACATGAGCAGAATGGTAATTTTTTACTCGATTAATTGCGGTACTCGCTTGCGATTGTGACGCAATTCTTCAAACTCGTGAAAAATTAGTATATTTCTACACTTATACTCAATATACTATTGTTTAGAAAAGCGCTTTTTGAAAAGTGGTTGAACACATTCTTTATTAAACTTTATTTTATTATGCATTTCTTCCTCATAGAAAATTTATCTTATATTCTTCCCAGTTCCCAATAATTTCGTGTTAATTCTTAATTCGTTTAATGTGTATTAAACGAATTAAGAATTCTAATAAAATATTATTATTTTTCTATTGTTACGGCTTTATTAGCATTACAATCTTTAGTAAACTCTATTTACAATTTCTAAATTAGAGTCTAAATTAGATTATTTACTAATTATAGCAGCAACCATCAGGAAGTAGGACAAAAACATATCTAGTAATCACTAGAGCGTAATCACTATATATATATATATATATATATATATATATATATATATATATATATATATATATATATATATATATATATATAAATATATATATATATATATATATATATATATATATTCGGTTTTATAACGTCTTAAGACGTTGTCTGACTCCCAAACGCCACTGTAATCTGTCTTGAGTTAGGTCTTCGTCTAGATTTCGAGCGCTATTCGCTTTCCTAACTCCCAGGTTCCAGCTCTGTGGTGGTCTTCCTCGTTTCCTCTTTTATGGGGGTTGCCACATCATAGTTTTTTTAGGCAATCTTTCGTCCCCCATTCGGCTCACATGCCCATACCATATGAGCTGTTTTCTCTCAATATCCTCAACTATAGTGCCCTCTATACCCATTTGTTGTTTTATCACTTTATTTCGTATTCTGTCGGCTCTTGATATTCTCATTGATCTTCTGATGGCATCCATTTCCGTGGTTTCGACCTTTTTCTTATATTTCTCGGTACTGCTCCATGTCTCAGCTCCATAAAGTAGGCTAGTTTTAACCATTGTCTCATATATGTTCCATTTTCTTTTCTTTGATATTTCTTTACTCCACAGAACTCCGTTCAAACATGCTATAGCTCTTCGTGCTTGTACAATTCGATGTTCTATTTCTCGTTCGTCTTTTCCACTACGGTCGTAGGACATACTTAAAGTTTAAAAATTTCATAATATTACTAAAAAATTAACTTCCTCGGTTCTTTGCTGTTAGAACTGTGAGAGAGATCTACCCGTATTACATTTTTATCACACATTTCCAAATTTTCTAAAGAGATATAACATGTACATGTAATTTTCTCTTCACTTCTTGTAAGTTGTGTAAAGCATTTAATACTGTAAAACCTAAAATAATTGCACTGATAGTCCCCTTTCTCATATGTGGATCAAAGACAAGGACCCTAACCCTAACAGCCGAACCCTTTCTATCGATTTTGAAGAAAGTACACGCAAATATTTAAGTAGTCGTAAAATGCATACGAGGCGTAAATATAACTTTTAACTACAGAATATCTATAAACTTAAGTTTGGTGGAAAATATGTTTCCACTATTATCAAGCGAAACCATCTGCAGTGGGCAGGACATGTATCTCGGAACAGCGCAGTCGGGGTCAATGGGAACAAGAAGACGGGGCAGACCAAAGCTAAGGTGGAAAGACGAAGTAACACGAGTAACAATGATAACTGAAAAATCCAATACAAGGAAATGCTGTTCAGGGACAGAGCAGAAAGGCGCAGAGAGCTTATGAACGTCGAGCCCCATTACGGGCTGTAGCAAAGTAGCTGATGATGATTAAATCTAAATAATCTAACAAATAATAATAAATAATAATAAAGTCAATAAAATCTACAAAAATTAAATATAAAGAAAATAAACAGAACATGAAAAATAAGAAATCGAGTGTTTATAGTCTAACTGTCATTTAAATAAAGATAAAATACCAAAATATCTTAAAAACATTATAGGAAACATGATGATCCAGATCGGAGATTTTAAAAAAATATGAAACAATATAAAAAAAATATTAGAAAAATATGGAAAATTTGGAAGATTTAAAATCTATTTAAATTCGAAAGCAAGAATATTATTAAAAAATAGTCTGGAAAATATTTTTAACTAAAAGTGCATAGTTGCAAGAAAATTGCTCTACCTATAATTTTAGTTATGCATTGGTAGATACAATTCGTGTTTCTTTGTTTTAAAAATTCTATAAAATATTCCCAATTAAGACAAATATTTAATTAAATAAAAAGCTTGATACTTATGCCCGCAAAATATATTTTTTTCATTTATCCTTTAGTTCTGTTTACAGATACTACTTATCTTACTTAATCATAGACTATGTAGTAGTATATTATTTAATGTTCTGAATATCATTTTAAGAAGTTTGTTTTTCCTATAGACTTTAAGTATCAAAAATCACTTTTTCCTAAAGTAGGAATGTTATATTTTACCCTTTTTGGCTTCATTTTCACTTTCGTATTTCTTAAATATTTATAAAATTTATTGTTGTTTTCAATATGTTAATACGTATAATATTTATGCCATATACTATTTTTCTACCAAGATAACTACGTAAAAAATAAAACCTAAACGGCAATAATATCATCAGATTAAAACAACGATATTTACACGAATATTTACAGAAACCCAAAATGGGAACAACTTACTAAAATCTATAGCACAAAAACCATATGACACAAGAACAATAAAACAAACTAAATAACATATTTTTCTTTATGTCTTTAGATTTTATTACAGTTAATATTGCATTAATATTGACTCATCTTTTCATTGTTGTTATTAAACTTTTAATAAAATAAATGTAAAATTTGAAGCACTGTAATATTAGCTTTTCTATTATTAGTTATTCGTTTTGTTGTATTATTGATATCTTTTAATATTCCTGTAGATTATTTGTGCAATCTTGGCTGTTGCTTTTGCTTCTCCAGCAAGAGTGGACGAAGATGATGGTCAATATCACCCTGACAACAGCGGACAATATGCCGGTGATGGTTCTGGAGCATATACAGGTGTTTCAGCTGCATATTCTGGTAAAATATTGTTTAATTAAATCAATTGGTTTATTATATTAGGCTTACTAACATTGCTTCTTCATTCATAATATTATCATGAATTATAATTACTTACGTTCACGTTCGGATCGGTTCGGTACGTTGTTTCTAACGAAAATTTGACTTTTTATAAAAAATATCTGGATTAAAAGTAATTAAGAAGATTAGGAAGTTAAGAAATTCCAGTAAAATATTTTGTATTAACATAATATTATGTAATTATTAAGCCACGCTTATGGTTTTCAAAACATGTGATCATTTATTAAACCGATAGTAGATGAAAAATATAAGCTAATATACTTTTTATCTATTCCCTAGATATAAATGCGTGATGTTAACTGTTTTTACTTTACTACGTTGTTTAGGTGTTCAATACCGCCCACAACCAAAAGCAGTAAATTACTATTCCGGTGCATCATCCCAATATAGCAATGGCCAGTACAGATCTGAAAGTAATGATGATGGTCAATATCACCCAGACAATTCCGGTGCGTACAATGGAGATGGTTCAGGAGCATACAGTGGTGACGGTTCAGGAGCATACAGTGGTGATAATTCTGGAGCTTATAGTGGCAACCAAGGAGTTGGCGCCCAAAACTACAGATATCAAGGAGCTGCTCAAGGTAACATCTTAGTGTCGGTATAATGTCCATTTTATTTGCGTTACAATTACAATTAATTACTGCCGCCTCAAAATAGTCGAGGAGTTAGACGCGGAGACAATATTTCACCAAAATTGTTCACGGCAGCTCTAGAGTTAATATTTAAGAGCACTCAATGGCAAGTTATGGGCATCAATATAGATGGAGAAAGATTAAATCACCTAAGGTTTCCAGATAACTTAAATGATATAGTTTCTATGATGCATTCGATTAAAAGTCTGTCTGAAAGAGCAGGATTAAAGATAAACTTTGATAAAATTATAATATTAACACTTAACATTAATTATAAAAAATCTCATAATGAGTGGAAATATAACTATTGACAATAATACCATACAACAAACAGACACTTACAAATGTCTGGATTTCCAGTATAGCTAATTTTATTGTTAATTCTACTTCTTTATCTTTTGCTTTTTTCACGTAATTTTTTGAGCTTTTAATAAATCTGTATTTGGTTCTTTAGACAACTAAATTTTAAATTTTTATTAGTATTGTTATTGCTGATTGTTATGGCTTTGTCCCAAAGAACAATTCGCCAGTTAAACCCCGTAGATTTTTTTGATTGTGGATCCTTTATAAATAATCCAGACTTTTGTCCCAAATCTAGGAATTCCTGTTCTAATTCCTAAAGCGTTTTGTTTTCTCGCTTTATTTTATGTAGTTTTCTGTTCTACGTTTAAAGCTGCAGCATTATAATTGTTTCCATCAATTTCTGCAGTAAGTGAAGTCATTTACTTTTAAACATAAATCATTTTTTCTTTATCCTTAAAATATTTCACTATTTTTTTATCTTCTGCCTTCCGTCTTTTTGTCGATATTTTCACATTGTAATTCTTACGCACTAGATATAGTTTGTAGATAGTTGTTAGTAGCTCACTTTCAGAATTTTAATTATTAGCTGATTATCGACAAAAATTACTGTTTATATTTCTGTATGTTTAATTATTTTTATACCTGTCCGTTAGGTTTATCCTAGTGGAAAAATAATACTCTCAAATATTCAAAAATTTGAAAAATTTGGCTGAGAAAATAGAATCTGGAATGAATAATGTCTATAAGATCAATCTCGTCGAAATAGGAAACACACAAGAAAAAAAAAGTAAGAAACGCAAGCCTGTGCACTTGATGCAGTAACATCGCATCCAAGTTGGCAAATTTCTGAATAGTCGAGGTGAAAAAAAAAGAAAAAAATAATTACAAAATATTTTGAAATGAAATAAAGGCAGCTGTTTTAAATGTCAGATGCTGTATTCAAACTGCTCGAACTACTCATAAAAATTTCGTGACAGTCATTTTGAGAAGTCAGTTTATTTTTTATTAAAACTTATTTAATGAATTTTTAATGATTGCCATTACCTATGACAATTTTTGTGTATCACGTGATTCTTTTATTCACAGATTTCAAAATAATCGCAATAAGTCTCTTGTCACTTCATAATAGAAACTTTTATACTAAGACAGAAACTATAATAAACGGCAATGCTTGATACTGAAAATATAGAGTTTTGACAAACTTTTTGTACATTATTTGTTCGAAATATTTAACTACCCAAAAAAACCACATACATTAACTAAGTAAAAAAGAAATCCAGTTTTTGAATAAGTACGACCAGTACTATAAAAAGTATAATATATACGAGTAAACATATAAAATTTCAGGGCAAGTAGCCAGAACCGTAGTGCAACCAACCGTACGTGCGCAACCTGTTCAACTAGTTCAATCAGTAAAACCAGTTCATCTTGTCCAACCCGTTCAATCTAGATACCAAGGTGTTCACTCAGCTCAAGCTAGACCAGTTGTAGATAACCGATCTGGTGCACAATCTGCATATCTTAACAATGGACAATACAGTAATAATGGACAATACAGCAATGGTCAATATAATGTACAATACAAAAACCAAGATGGACACAATAACGGACAATATAAAATCATTCGTAAATCAGAAGAAGTTCTTGAAGACGGATACCATTACGTGTAAGTAAAAAAAAATAAATTAAGCAGTTTTAGGTATATTTCTTTTTAAATTTCTTTACCGCGGAAACTAATAAAATTTATGGTAAATATTTTATTTAAATTCACCATATTTAATATTCCCAATAGTTTTATACAAAGTTTAAATTTAATCACAACTATTATTCAAACTTTAATGGCAATTCAATAATTAAAATATCAAATGATTTAACCAGTATTTTAATAGTGATTATATTACACCACATTTAAGTTTTTTTCGTGTAGGACTGTGATGTATTGAATCTTCTTCTTAGGGTTCTTGTCCGTTCCGAACGTTGGCGATCATTCTGGCTATGATGACTTTGTTGGTTGCTACACGAAATAGCTGTGTTGAGGTCTTTCTATACTATGCTCTCAGGTTAGCAAGCCAGGATATTCTTCTTCGTCCTGGGGCTCTTTTTCCTTCAATTTTACCCTGTAAAATGTATTGAAGTAGCTCGTATCTGCCTTGATTTCTCATTATATGGCCCAAGTACTGCAGCTTACGGCCCTTCACGATGTTGATCAAATCCGCAGTTATGTTCATTCTCCGCAGTACTTCTTCATTGGTGACTTTGTCTGTCCATGGTATTTTCAAGATCCTTAATGCATTAAATAATGATTTTAATTTTGCTGTATATTTTCTTAAATTTCTACGTCTATAATTTTATTAATTCTATTATGCACAGACGGCTTGCCTGTCTGTGCTTAATAGACGTATTATTATTTTTTTGTATCTTTATGTCCACTTATTTCCTATTCATGCCGAGATCTACTTCCTACTAAATTTATTATCTTGGAATATTCTTATTTATTATTCTTATTCAAAATTTTAATTTTGAAGTAATTTAAAATACAAATAAATTTTGTTTTCTTGTTATGATTTTGTTACGTTGGCATGTACTGACTTATAATTCTTGTTTCCTTTCTGTGCTATGTATATTTGTACTCTTAAACTAATGTATATATTTTTGTAATTTTGCGAAGACATGACATTAAAATTAATATCATTATTTTTTTCTAAAAATTTATTTTTCAAAAAATTTCCAATTAAACTCATAAATTAGGGTATTTTTATAAGTATGTATTTTTAACCGCTATTTATAAGCTCATTTTTCATAATGCAATATATTATTTAAGAGTGCTTATGTATTACACAGTGCTTACTTGCTTACTTAGTACCGTAAATAATATGCTTAATATTTTGGTTTTAAATGCTGTCTTATAATTGACCTTACATTGCCTTTGAATAATTTTGTAGTATTATATTTCTTATATTTTTTTATATTTAAGCTATGAAACCGAAAATGGTATTTCCGCCGAAGAAGAAGGTCATCTTGTAGAAAGAGGAACTGAACACGAACATATGTTCGTTAAAGGTTTCTACACTTACCCAGGCCCAGACGGTGTAAAATATACTGTTGAATACACTTCTGATGGTGTAAATGGATTCGTTCCTGTTGGCGCCCACATTCCAACTGCTTCTGATGCTCAACAACGTTCTGTAGTTCAACAAAAATAAATGTATTTTGTATAAAACATATTAACTACGTTATACGTAGTAAATTTGTAATGTTAAAAGAATTCAATATAATTTAATAAATATTAGTTTATGCTCATTAAGTTGTGTTCACCTGAAATTTGCAAAATACCGTGGTTAATTTCAGTGATATCGAGCATCTGAAATTTTGCAAATAGTTTTAAATATTACTTTATTTGGCTTGTTTATTGAGGTGCCGTCTTCTTTCGCAGGTCGACCATGATCATAGTTATTTGAACTTTGTTTATTGTTGCTCTAAGAAGCTGATTCGACGTGCGATTAAGCCACTCTCTGAGATTACGCAGCCATGATATTCATCTCCTTCCAACGCTACGCTTTCCTAAACTATTTTCCTGTATGATATTTTGCCGAAGCTGGTATTTAGTTTTTCTCATCTCTTGTCCAAAGTATTGTCGTTTTCATATCCATATTTTATTATTTGGTGTTGTGTGAATACAACGTTTTTTATTAGTTTGGACTCGGTTGACTATTCTAACTAAAACTCCTCGATTAAACTCTGTTTATATTAATTTAAATGTAAACAATTCACTCCGATATGCCGTTCGTTCTATGGCTGACAGTGATCTCTAGTTCTCGTCAAATGCGTCGAGCGCTACGCAATCGACGACGGCCGAAGGCACAGTGCCGTAACATGCCGCCCGCCTTGAAAGAACTGCCTTTCAATGATATACAGTGTTTATAATAGAACATAGTTAAATAAAGAATAAACTAAAATGATAATTAAGTAAAGATTACATACGAATTAATAAAGTACAATGTGAAAGTAAATATTAAAGAAAACTAAACAAATAGAATGTCTACTCATTTTCTATCGGTAGTACGCATAGTTTAGATACAGGTCATTTAAAAATGCCGCGAGCAGTTTTCACAGTAACTACACGAACTACATCGTCCAGTTCAGGATGAACTTCAGCCACTCTTGCCACACCCCATTTTAGTGGAGGGTTTGGGTCTCCTTTGATGATAACCATTATACCTGGTTTCACACCGCTAGTAGGAGTCTGCGTAAGATACTGCCATTTTGTTCTACTTTGTGGATTGCAAAGATATTCCGTGGACCACCTGGTCCAGAAATGCTGACATCCTGATAAGATGTTGAAATCTTCTGAGTCCGTTTTCATTGATATCACCAAAATGAGTTGGAGGTATAGCGTTTAGAGGACCCCCAATCAAAAAAAGGCCAGGAGTGAGTATGTCAAGGTCATTGGGGTCATTAGTTAAGCGTATGAGAGGACGGGAATTCATGAAGGATTTAGTTTAAGCGATTACTGTTGAAAACTCCTCTAAAGTGAAACAATTGTTCATCAAAATACGCCTTAAATGATACTTAGCAGTTTTAACTGCAGCTTCCAATAACCCCCCGAAATGTGGTGATACTGGTGGTATAAAGTACCAATTAATTTGATTTTTAAAAAATATTCCAAATATGCTGTTGAGCAGCTAGGATTGTAAATTAGACTAAATAACTTCCTGAGTCTCGTGTGAGCACCTACAAAATTAGTAGCATTGTCTGAATAGATATTTTTACATAAACCCCTGCGTTACACAAATCTTTTGAAACAGTTTAAAAATGCCTCAGCGCTCAAATTACTAACAATTTCAAGATAAACAGCTTTGGTAGCAAAACATATTAATAGACATAGATACGATTTTTAAACCCTACTTCCTCGAAGATTACTGGTCTTGGTTTCAAAAGGTCCTGCATAATCCACACCACAGTTAGGAAATGGACGACTAGGTGTTACCCTATGGTTCGGGAGTTGACCCATGATGTATGTTTGTGCTGTAGGTTTAATCTTAAAACCAATAACGCAAATATGTAAAAATTTTCGTACCGTGCGTCTTCCGGCGATGGGTCAGTAAGTTAATAGAAGAGTAGCCAACAATAGTTGTGGGTTAGCGTATAGATTCCTTATATGCTCTTGCATAATGATCAATTTAGTCAGTTTGTGATTCCTAGGAAGTGTAATAGGATGTTTTTGATTAAAACTTAAGTCTGAATATTTCAGCCTACCTGAAAGTCTCAATAAACCCTTGTCATCAATATAAGGTGCTAAACTTAAAAGCTCACTATGCTTTGGCAAATCTTGACCTGACTTCAATGCCTCAATGTCAGACGGAAAAGACTGCGCTTGCACTTTTTTTATCAGCCAAACAAATGCCACTTCTCTTTCTGCTATGCTTAAACAACCAACCAGCCTATTTTCCTTAGATATCCTACAGTTTGAAACAAATCTTAGACAATATGCTACTACCCGTTGCAATTTATGTAAGTTAGAATACCTGTAAAAGATGTCCACATCTTTGTTGGCCAAAAATATTTGACGTTTGACCTTTCTTTCTAGTAAGCCAACATCGTCAAGTTTGACCTCTTTGGGCCAGGTTTAATCTTCTATTTTTAGCCACGATGGTCCGATCCACCAAGGTTCGGCATAAGAAATGAGTTGACCTTCATTTAGGCCCCTAAGATAATATCAGCTGATTTGCTCTTAGTTTCAACGTGCCGCGATGTCCAGGTTTTAGAAGCCTTTTGTATGATGTACGATTTTATACAAAAGTTTTCTAATTAAAGAAGTCCTGAGCTATCCACGACAAGACTATAGTTGAATCAGTCCACGTGTATATCCTATCAAATTCAATACCCAATGCTGATGTAACTATACCTACTAATCTGATGCCTAATAGTGCACCATACAGTTCAAGTCGTGGCAATGAAATTACCTTAAGGAGCCACTCTTGACTTTGCGCACAATAAGCCTACGTGATGATTACCTGACTTATCCGTTAAAAGAAGTAAAACTGCTGCCCCATATGCAGCCTCTACAGCGTCCGTAAAATAATGTAGTTTTATACGCTGTGGATTTGAATAAATTACTTGCCTATTGATGTGAATGTTTTCAATGATATCGAAATTTCTTCTATAATTTACCCATGCTGTATGTAAATCTAGTGGTAGTGACTCACTCCAATGTATTTTTACTCTCCATAAAGATTGCATAATGAGTTTAAACTAGTACAACTGGTCCCATAAGACCTAGAGAGGATCAAAATTGCGCTATCATAGATATCACCGACCGCTTAGTTATTTTAGCAGCTTGTATTGTAGTCTTTATTGAATAGTGAAGTTTGTCTTCCTGTGCATTCCAATAAATTTCCAATGTCTTATTGTTATTGCCTTCTTACAGTGCTCAATTCTTCTTTTAACTCAATCATCCATTTATAAAACCGCTCCCTGGTTAGAGATCCATTTCCGTAAGCAAAATTTTGGGCATTCTAGATATTGCTAATATGTTTCTTTAATATTATTGCCTCCTCTACAGTATCTACTCTGAAAGTATAACTTACGCTGCCTTAGAGAAACTGTCTCATGCTTCATACGCCAGCTGCTGTAAACATCTGATTGCTAAGTAAGCAGCAGGTGCCGTTCCATATGTAAGTGCGTTAAGTTTATAAACTTTAATCTCTTCTTCTACGTTTGACCTCCAAAGTATTCGTTGTAAATCTCTCTGCTCCTCGTTAACCCAAATACATCTATACATTTTGGCTACACCAGCCCCTATTACTATATAATGCCTTCTGAATCGAAGTAATATGTTAAACAAATTGTCTTGCAACTTTGGACCCACCATTAGTGATTCGTTAAGAGAAATGCCCTTGTCTGTAGTTGCACTACCATCAAAAACCATCCTGAATTTTGTTGTTGCTGAACCTTGTTTTACTATCGCATGATGAGGTAGGTAATATACCTTGTTTGAATTATTTAAAGTATGCATCATATTAATGCTCCCAATTTGAGACATATGCCCTAGTTATATATAGTAATAGTAAGATATTCTTCCAGACTTTTAAGACTTCATATTGTCTCCGTAGTTCACTATCTCTTGCTAATTTTTATTCCAATATATGAAATCTACTAAGTGCATTGCTGAATGATTCACATAATGGCATGACTATCGACATTTCAGGTAAGGTGACTGTAAATAATCCATTCTTATCCAAAAAATACCCGCGCCTAATAAAACTTCAACTTGTCCAGGTGTATTGAAACCTTCATCAGCTAAGTTTATATTGTGGGAAAAATTAAACTGATTTATTGAAATTCTAGAATGCGGAATATAATCCGAAATCTTGTCAATAACCAAAAAACATGTGTTGCATTTATACCCACCTTCAAGTCTTGAATGTATTGTAGCCTTCACTAATCTTTTAATATTTCTAATACCTTGACCTATCCTAACAACTGGTATATTAATTTTTTGACCTGTTAGTTGCAGCTTCTCTGCTAGGCTACGTGTAATGAAGTTAGATTGAGACCCCGAGTCTAGCAATGCCCTATCTTCTTCTTCTTTTAGTTCCATCTTCTATCGAAGGTTGGAAATCATCATGGCTATGCGGACTCTGTTGACTGCCGCTCTAAAAAGTTCTGCACTACTGCATTTAAACCATTCCCTTAAGTTCTTAAGCCAGGATATTCTTCGTCTTCCCACATTTCGCTTTCCTCGGATTTTGCCCTGCATAATAAGTTGTAATAATGCGTATTTTTGCCCTCTCATCACATGTCCCAAGTACTCAAGTTTTCGTCTTTTAATAGTTAATATTATTTCCGCCTCATTTCCTATCCTTCTAGTTACTTCCATGTTTGACATTCTTTGAATCCACGATATTCGTAGGATTCTTCTGTAACACCAAAATTCAAAGGCGGCCAGCTTATTCAGATGAACTTGTTTGAGTGTCCAAGCTTCCAGACCATAAAGAAGAGTAGAGAACACGTAACATCGAAGCATTCTCAGGCGTAGTTCTAACCTTATATCCCGACAACAAAGAAACTTTTTAAGTTTAATAAATGATGTACGTGCTATTTCAATACGTGTCTTAATTTCTTTGGTTTGGTCTACATCTGATGTTATCCATGTTCCTAAATTTTGCCTATCAAAGGGTTCATTAATACAGGGGGTAGAAAATTAGGACTGAAACTAAGAGGGTGGAGATAAGGCAAGCAAAATAATTGCTATTTGCGCGAACGGCACTCAGGGT